CCTTCCCACGAGGTTCTCCGACGGAAAACTAAGCATTGCAGCCCCTGGAGGTGGCGCTGCATCGCTCGGACTGACCGAAAATCGTCTTTTGACGATACCGACAAAACGAAACCTCATAGACGTACAAGTAGACGGTGTACATGTCACTGCTCTTGTCGACACCGGCGCCCAACTTTCCGTGATAACAAGTGATTTTCGCCGCAAGCTCAAGAAGGTCCTCACCCCTGCGACCACTCAGTTCGTCCGTGTTGCGGATGGTGGAATAGCATCTATCACTGGAATGTGCTCCGCTCGTGTGAGCATTGCTAATTGACACACAGTTGTTCTCTTCACCATCCTTGACAAATGCCCCCACGACGTAATCTTAGGCCTCGACCTCCTGTCCGCACATTCTGCCCATAGACTGTTCGACAAGTACGCTCCGTCTACATTTGCCCACAAGAGAACCTCTTGCACAACGGCCGAGTCGCCTCTGCACAACGGGACACGCGCGCCTCCCTCCACAGACACTGACCTACATAGAGCTCGTCTCAATACCACCAGTTCCCGACGGTGACTATGTTCTGACCCCTATCACCGATGTCCTCATAAGCCGTGGCATTGCATTACCGCACACCATTCTGTCCGTCGCAGCTTTATCAGACTATGCTCCTATTTCCGACGCTTCGTGAAAAATTTTGCGTACATAGCAAGGCCGCTTACGCAGCTCCTCAAGAAAGAAGTCCCGTTTTCATGGGGCTCCGAAGAGGCTTCTGCGTTCTCGATTTTCGTCGCTCTTCTCACTACCCCTCCGATTGCGTTATTGCATATGCCAGCCGTCTCCTGTCCGCCCCTGAACGTAACTATTCGACAACAGAGCGTGAGTGTTTGGCTCTCGTATGGGCGGTGGCGAAATTTCTACCCTATCTATACGGTCGCCCATTTCCGGTAGTTACCGACCACCACGCACTCTGCTGGCTCAACTCTCTGAAAGATCCATCAGGCCGCCTTGGTGGCTGGGCTTTGCGCCTGCAAGAGTTTTTCTATTCGGTGGTCTACAAATCTGGCCACCTACACCATGACGCCGATTGCCTCTCCCGGTACCTTGTCGACGATCCTGAGGACACTGACGAGCCCACGAAGAACTCTATCTTGTCAGTGTCCGACTTCCTTAATATTGGGGAAGAACAGAAGCGTGATCCAAAGCTGCTTGACATCATCAGCCGTATGGAATCCTCCACAAATCATGCTTCCGTCCGCTACTTTGTTATTCAAAAGGGTGTGCTATACCGTCGCAATTTCCGACCAGACAGGCCCGACCTTCTCATTATTGTGCCTAAGCATTTGCGCCGCTGTGTTCTCACTGAACTTCACGACGCTTCCACGGCTGGACACTTAGGCGTATCCTGCACGTATAAGCGCGTCCGGTGTCGTTTTTTCTGGCCAGGCCTTGCTCGTTCGGTACGCCGATGATGCATCGCAACGTGTGACCTATGCCAACGTCGTAAAACATCGTCACTGCTAGGCGCTGGCCATCTTCAACCAATTGACATACCCGCGGAACCATTTTACCGTGTTGGGTTAGACCTGCTTGGTCCTTTTCCCACATCAACATTGGGAAACAAATGGATAGCCGTCAATACAGACTACGCTACACTATTACGCGAGCTCTACCGACCAGCTGTGCAACCGACGTCGCTTACTTCTTGTTACGGGACGTTATATTGATTCACGGTGCTCCGAGACAGCTTCTCACAGACCGTGGCCGTACATATCTATCCCAAGTCATCGCCGACATTCTGCGTTCTTGTTCCACGCAACACACACTGACAACCACTTACGACCCTCACACAAACGGCCTCATGGAAGGATTTAACCGCACTTTAACAAATATGCTCGCTATGTACGTGTCGCCCGACCACCGAGACTGCGACCTTGCCTTACCCTACGCAACTTTCGCGTATAATTCATCCCGTCACGACACAGCGGGCTTTTCGCCGTTCTACTTATTGTACGGAAGAGAGCCGATTTTACCACTGGACACAGTCATCTCAGCTCACACCTCGTCCACCAGCGAGTATGCCCGCGACGCGATTGCGCGAGCCGATCATGCCCGTCAGCTCGCTCGCGCTCGGCTGATGGCGCTGCAAACCAACCAATGCCGTCGGTACGATGCGGAACATCGAGACATACATTTCGCTCCCGGTACCCTCGTTTTACTCTGGTCCCCTCATTGTCGGCTGGGCCTGGGTACGTGGGCAAAAAAAAAAAAAAAGAGGCCTTTTTATCACATGGTTTGAGCGGTTTGAAACGCGCGGTACCCTAAGCCGCATCGCCATTGGCTACCGAGTCATTGTCAGCTGTGTTGGTGGCGGCCATTGGCATTTGGTCCGTCTGCTTTTCTGCGCGTCTACGCATATTTCCGCGATGACAAGCCCGAAAAAGTGCAACGTGAGACCGCAGAAGTTTCGAACGAAGCACAAGTTCAAGGAAAGGCGGCGTAAAGCGCCCCGAACGACGCCGACAAACGAGAACGCGCCTACGTGTGCTAGACCTGACGGCGGCATCGACGAGTGCGCGAGCGACAGTGGCTGCGATGAAGGGATTGACGCTGCGCTTTCTTTCGTCAGTGCTTCGGAAAAGAAGCTCGGCTTCTTCGAAAAAGATGAAAGACAGCGCGATGAGGTTTGTGCAACGACAGTTTTGTGCGACACCCTCTAGCTGACGGCACTTGTGGCAGGTGTGGCATGCCCTGCTTGCGGTATTCAAAAACTTGCCGTTCGGGAGCCGGCAGAAAAGCGCAAGGGACTTTCGTCGCTCCTCGAACTTCATTGCGAAAACAGCGAATGCTCAGTGACTGTTGTTTCGTGCTCCTATACGTCACTGCGTGTTACGGCGGACGGCAGCAGCCGAGTGAGCCAACGGTACGACAGTGGGAGCTCCCGAGATAGCGATAGTTTCGCTGTAAATGTGAAGGCGGTGGTGGCTGCACGCGCTGTCAGCATTGGGCATGAGCAATTGTCGAGATTTTGCTCCATTATTGGACTCCCAAAGTCAATGCACCACCGAGGATTTTTTTCGATAGCAAAGAGGCGCATCAAGAGAATGTCCGAGCGTCTGACAGCAGAAGCAAGGGCCCACCGTCGTCGTGGAGTGAAAAGGGCACGGCTAGAAGAGAGTGCTCGCAAGGACCGTGAGGGCACAACCTATGCTGCAGGACAGTTCTAGTAACTTGCAGTACTTTTCAAAGTTCTGTTGAACATTATGGCCAAAGATTATGCATTTCTAACAACTCTGTGATAAAAAAAAAAAGGTTTCAAACTTTCAAATGCGTTTTTTTTCTTTTGCAGTTTTCTGTGATCTGTGCTTCTTATACACGCTAGTTCGTATACTTAGAATTGTCATACTTCTATGAAATTTTGCACATAGCATGATGAAGGCCCATAGAGTGCAAGTTGTCTTCTTCATTCAGATTGTCAGTGCTGCTTGATTATGTTTTTCAAAAATTACATAACATTGAAAGCCCTTGGCAACTAGAGCCATAGTAAATTTTTCTATTTTATTATTGTATTTCACCTTTTTACACACAAAATTTATATAGTTTTTTGCACTCTACAGTTCCAAAGGATCATAGTCAGCTATATCTGCATGCTATATCTCAAATTTTTATAGGTCAGAATTGTTGCATAACAATGGCCATAATTTTGCAGTATCTGACCTGCAGAAAGAAAACCAAGCAATCTACATGAAAATAAATGACATATTTGAAAAGAGGAGAAAAAACTCTATTAGCATGCCAATTTGTGTTAAATTCAGACTCTTATTAAAGAAAATCGTTTTTCAAGTAGCATCTCCCCTTAAGGGCAACAACTTCTCGGCTCGCTTACAAGGTGCGTCCTACCAAACAGTAACAAAGGTGCGCACCCGTCAACCTGGCAACGACATCGGACATCGAAACTTCAAGACAGAAAAATTTTTCATGTGCCATTGCTATGGCAACCAACGTGGTCGCAAATGTTCGTGGCATGTAGAGTTCGCACACGAAAAATGCGGCCCACGCGCCCAGCTTCAGTTGCTAACATGCCATAGGCACGTTTGTTGACTAGAAAAATCGTATTTCCCTTGATGGACAGATGAATAAAGCAATGCATTTTCAGTTTGAAGTTGCATAATCTCGCCGATCGGTATCTGCTGCGGCCAGTCGACCGATGGGTGCGCAGAGTTGTTACTTTGATTGGTCAATCGTGTTTTGCAAATGTGCTGACCTAATGAGTAATCTAAATATCTTACACCATGGTTTAAAGTTGGGGCACGTGGCCTCCATTTCTCGCTAAAATTAGCGCAACTTAGAACATTTGAGGCTGGTCAGGCATTTTGGCCCAGCGTGCCACAATTTCAGCAAGTTTCACAGTTTTCGCGCATCTCAGTGCAAAAATGGGTAATTGTGTCAAAGTGGCGCAATCAGCGCAGCTGTTGCACTCTTGAAAATAAGAATAACAGCTCATTCCTCGAGGAAATGCAATAGTTGAAGTGACCTTTGTGCAGTCTGTAACTTCCAACACAAACTTTGTGATGAAAGCATGCATATGTATACAGGCTCATGGCTGACCAGTTCTAAAGATTAGGGGCATGGTCGGAGTGACCCGGACCTGTTGTGGTCGAAGCACGTATTAATTACCAGGGCCACACAGGCCTCTTCTTTCTATGTGCATTTCTACCACCAAAAATGTCGGGCGCATTTACTCTTCGCTTGTGCTGTAATCGCTGCCTGCCCTCGCGTGCTTTCACACGGACACAGCACACACTATGTGTGGGGTGATAGCAATTTGGACTTCAAACCGAGCATCATGACCAAACTTAGCCAAGAGTGTCCATATACAAAGCGCATACTTGGTACCCTTCTCCCAGACAATTACTCCCTGGTAGATGTCTCTGATGAAGGAGTTGAAACAGTAATAAGGCTTTAGAAAAACACAGCACTTAGCATCACACCTAATGCGTAGTTCTCAAAAGAGCCTCACCCAAACTTTATCTGATCGGAACCAGCCAACAACGCCTGCACTGTCCACTTGGCCAGCTTGCACGAATTGTTCTTGAGTTCGTTGGCCAGCACGGCACCCCGTTGCGTGTCGAGCTTCTGGCGCCAATCGATGCCACCCGAAAAGCGAGGATCCCACTCGTTGAGCGCCTTGATGCTGACAAACTGGAGCTCCCCGTTGGGGCCCACCATTGCACCGTCGTGTTCGCATCGCACTATCAGGCCTACATTGTCGCCCAGGTCAAACTTACGGTACCTGCAAGAATGTAAAAAAGTGGGCTTGTTGGTGGCGGTGACACATGGTAATAAAACTTCTAACATCTTCACATTTAGACAACATGCACGGCACCACTATTGAAAAAAAAAAATCTCAGCAAATGTACAGATATTTTGTTACGTTAGCCGAATATCGCAGTGAGCAAACATGGAAAGTTATGTGCAGAACATTACTCAGAAAGATGAAACATGGTCACAGGAGTCCGAGGACGGGGCACCACAAGCGAGAGCTCTTTGTCGGCGACAGGAGATGGCGTAGGGCTAATCCAGTCGACCAGAGCTGCGCTGTCGTCAGAGATTGCGAGGGCACAACCGGTCAGCAAGGAATCCAGTGAGCGAGTTCATAGAGCAAAAAAAAAAAAAAAAAGAGAGAGAGAGAGAGAACTTGATACGACTTTTAGGTTCCTAAAAAAAGATATCAAGCTGCTCATTTTCAACCAGACAGGGTCCTTTGTGATGTACCAAGATTCCTTTGTCCTTTGTGGAGAAAAGGACGGGCCGCCGTCAGCATAGCAAAGCCCCCCCCCCCCCCCCCCCGATCTCTTCTTTATTCCTAAGCCAGTTTTCCTTAAAACCAGTTTTCCTTGAAACGAACATCCATTATGCAGTCTCTTCCACAAGGTTCTTCATTTTCTAGTATTGGCTGCCTTCAGCTTGGAAGCATGATTTCTCTCGGACTGCCTCACTCTTTGCCACTTTCATCATCACTGTGGTATTGTATCGGCATTTCACACTTTCACCGAGTTGGGCTGTACAATCAACATTTTTCTCCACCTTCTCATATGTAGCTTATACGAAGGGCAGCCGTCACGAGAAGGGCGAACGACAGGCTTTTGCATCCGCATGGTCTTCCTTGTATATCTTTTCTCTTTATGAATGGGCCTTGATTTGCTTCCTTGTGCACGCTAATTTTCTAGATCTGGTAAATTACCTTTTGGATTTCCAAAGGTTTCCTGCAGTTCTATCATTGTGATCTCTTCCTTCATCACGTACAATTGAGTTGTTACTGCCTCGTCAGTTTCTAAGGGTAGTGCACGCTGATGAGATTTCAAAAGATCTGAGCCTGATCTTTGCAAATAGCTGTTGCTCTGAGCAAGTTTCTGGAATCGTCCTTACAGTAGTTAAGCGGCTACTTCGTCGGCTTCCACCACGTTGAGTCATTTGTCATAAGGCCAACTCGTCTGGTGTCTGTACAACAAGATTGCTGCTCAATATGCACTGGCTTGATAATGATGGCGCAGACGAAGAGAGTATTCTTGCTTCTATGCCTGTCTTAATCTGTTGCCTTATTGTCTGCACACGAGCCTGCCAAGCCTTTAGTATATTGTCGATCTTATATTCTATTCAGACTCTTGTTGGAAAAATCTGGTGAACATAAACATCCCCTTGCTCCGCCTCAGCTTCCAGATTATCAACATCAACTGAGTCTTCTACCTCTTTATCAATTTGTCTGAGCTGATTGTACTGGTCAATTAAAATGCTACGAATATCCTGTAACTCACGCACTGATGGGCACTCAACATCCAGAAAACTTTCGATCCTTGCGATGGCTTCCATGATGGTCTTTGGTACTTGATACCTCCTATCACTGGCAGGCAGCGTTGCAAGAACAAGTCAGCATCAACGCGGCATCCACCCCAGAAGCTTCGCAAAAGGAATATCCAGTCATTATCGGGACATCATTTTTTCTGATCTGGGACTTGAGGATAGTTAGGCCTCGTACATCAGCTTCACCCGACGACGGCTTCGCAGAAGTCCTCCAGGCTTCAAATGCGGTCAAGAGTTTGTGAAGTTCGTTCTATCTCCCCTCTGAAGGCCTTTTCTCCGAGGTTTCATGGGCACCAAAAACAATGTAGGAAAATTTCTCTGAAGCCTCTATTGGCACTCAGCGCAGTGCCATCCCCAACATAGCACACATTCAAAGTCACAGAACAAACAAAAATCTGCCCCACTACTTTTTTTTCCTCGTCCTTGTCAATGCCTGGCCCATTGCTTTACATTCCCCGCCCCCGAAAATATTTCACTTGCATGATTACAGCGACGACAGTAATTGTATCGGCTTTGTAACCTCCGCGTTGTTTGCTAATCGCATTCTGCATGCCCTAACATGTACTCTCGTATATCTTCGAAATCCTTCTAATTTTTCAGAATGTTATTGGCATTTTGTCGTCGTGTATCAATACAGTGTCATCACCACTTATGTTGATTTCCCTCCCTTTATTCTTTCTGAAGTGTGCACTTTCAAGAGCCAGCAGGTAATCGGTACCAACAGCTCCAAAAAGCAGTTAGTCTGCGTTGACGGCCTCTCTCTCTCTCTCTCATATATATATATATATATATATATATACATATATATATTTGTGAGGTTTAACGTCCCAAGTTGACGGCCTCTCCACCGGCGCAGTGTGAATTTCATGGTGAAGTAGGGTTGTTAATCATCACAGAGCTAAAAAAAAATAAGCGGGTGTAAGAACTTCAGGTTCTTTAACTTCAGTAGTAACATATCATGAAGTCATAAACAGATGTTCTGACGCCTGATGACAATGTACGCTTTTACTACGCATTATCACTGCAATATTCCATGTTGTAGTGTGAAGTATGTATACAGGACGAGTGTGCTTATAAAGCATGGAAGCTATTTTCACTGCATTTCCAAACAGAGGAAGTTTTCATTGTATCACAAGCAGATGAGTGGCTTTATGGTAGAACACCCGCTTGACCCGCAAGCGACGCAGGTTTGATCCCCACTCAAATCAATATTTTTTAATTGAATTTATTTGCATCTTTCTCGATTTCTCGGTAGCGCACAAGATGATCTTTCGCTCACGACCAGCAACACGGACGCGGGAATGCGAAACAAGCGCTTTAACGCCATCGCATTAAAATTACCAGCTCCCTTTTTATAAAAACGCCAGGCCTACGCGGAAGGTGCAGCACAGTCACAGGGAAAGCTAGAAGAGCGGCCTTTCAGAGCCTCTTCAAAACAATGATTGGGTAATTACTGCAAGCACAATTGCTTGTTACCCACTAGGACATTATTAATAAACTTTTGGGTAGTAGGCCAGCATTTTCCTATGCTATTTTTCGTCATTCTTCTGAGAAGCGCAGTATCCGCTAAACACATGCAAAGAATTTCGTGCAAATTGTTCATGCAGTGGCTCACGATCATGAAGAATTATGGCTGAAGTGGGTATGAGCCACAGTTGTGTCACGGGTCCCGTTAATTCGGGAGGCGATCGCCGGGCTAATTCCAAGGGCCGAAGCATCGGCCCCCCGAACCGCACCACGAAAGCGTGGACAATTTAGAAGTGGTCCTTTTTGGCGCGCCAGCGGACGCCGGCTGTGGCCCAAAGAACAAGTCAGAGCCGAGAGTTGATAAACAAACAAAATTATATTCTCAATAATGGCAGATCGAAAACAATACACAAGTATGCACACTCCAGAATAGTTGAGTACAATTTGTCACCCACCAAACAACGTACTACACAGTACAATCAGCCACACTCGAAACAACGGACACAGACAACAATACGCACTACAATGCAGTCGCATGCATTGAACAACCAAAACACTTAAAGACTAAAGAGATAGAAAACCTATTCAGTCCAAAGTTCTTGGAACAAAAAAGTCTAGATGACACTCTTCCGAGAATCACTCACTCAAAGTCCAGCGTTGTTGTCGTTCCGTCGCCCCCGAAGTTTCTCTTCCAGGAAACCTCGCCGAAGTTTCTCTTCCAGGGAACCTCGCGTCTTCAATTGGCCCACTCTCCAAGCTTCAAACTCCTCCGCCCGAAACACGTCGGCTTCACACATGCAGCTGTTGCCATGCGTCTTCGCTCGATAGCGGTAAACACACACTCTTGCCTGTAGCTCGAGTCGTCACCCCTCAGGTGGAAATCATCTTCTTCTCCTGCTTTGCCTCTACGGACAAAACCTTCGCCGACTACACGGCGGAATCCCTACGCGCTCTGGCGCTAACTTCCGTCTTCCCCTGATATTTTGTCTCGGCTGCTCGATTAAGTACCTTCCGCGCGAGATTCCAGAAGGTTCTCATCATTTCGTCGGCGCGATGCGCAGCGAAGGCTGGAGGAAGGTCGAGAGGGTACGAGGGCCGTCCTGACGGATGACTCAACCCGGCGTCACCATGCCTCTTTCCATCGAGAAATTTCGAGTGCTTGCTTGGCCGCCGATGTGGGGTGAGGAGGTTCGTCGGCAAAGCCACGCTTCCGAGGGGAGAGGCGCGCGCCCGGGGGTCCTTGGATGTTTGTTTTTCATTTTCTTTTTTTTTTTTATCGTTGACCTCGCGGCGTCACTCTGGCGCTTCATCGCGAGACTTTGGCGGCGCGCCCTTTTTGAGCGCTCGTTCTGTGACAAGTTGATAGGGGAACAAGAACAAAGCTTTTGTAATAGGTTGGAGCATTGGATGGCCCACTCGTTATGCTATTCGCATTGTGCGACGATTGATTGTTCCTCCGCTGTTTTAAAACGCGTTCTAAGTGGTTTCAACACGATTGTTTTCCAGACATCAAGCCTGCCTAAGGCAAGTTTGGCAACAAGTTACAAGCACTAGCGTAGCTCATTGATGGAATATTGAGCTGGCACCCAGCGGACCCGGGTTCGAGCCCCACTGTGTCTTTGATGCTAGTTTTTTTTTTTTTATAATTTCGCGCGAGGTGGTTACGGACACCGGAAATGGAGGCGGACAATTGCGCGTGACCCGAGTTGTGATCTCATAAGAGCTTTCGCTGTAAAACAGATCCCTTGTGTTGTGTTATTGCACTTTCGATCATTTGCACCCCCCCCCCCCCCCATTTTTTTTGGTCATCGTCAGCTACATCTCAGTGATGTATGCCTCGCACTCACAATTCAGAGGTTAAAAATGCGTTACCACGTGCCGAAGTCTTTTTTTATTATATTTCTTTTTTTTGCATTTTCATAAATATAGATATGTATACATATGTGACGAATGCCGGCAACGCCA